TGATATTTATTTAATTTATACTTATTTCCTGTAATTTTATTTGTGCAACACTCAAACATATAAGCATATGTGTTTACTTATGTTCTTTCTAATATATAAATAATCATACCCTGCAAGGAAAGCTTCCAGTAAAAAAATAAAACTATAATCTCCTCCTTAAATTCTAGGAATCAGCCATAAAAAATAGTTTATTTTTTGATAATCTTTTAAGATTTCAAATATTGAAGCGTTTAAAAAAACATTTTCTGCGAGTTTCATGTTAGAAATTCATAAATGAGATTAATATATATGTAATTGAGGATATGCCTAGGACTTTAGGAAGTGTCCACATTCTAAAAAAATTATTTGCTGTCTTCCTTCATTCAATTTAGGAGGGGAACCTAGTTTAGAGGGCCAGAAATATTTTCACAAAATTTCAGAGTCAAATTCCTAATCGTTCCGCAGGAATGGCCTCCGAGAGACAATGTGCTCAGTAGACTGATAAGCGGGCGCGAGGACTTTGAACGGGCTTTTCTCAAAATAGTGTTTTCTGTTTTGTGCACGCGATTAAAAAATTTGTAATTGTATTGCATTTTCATAAGTGATACCTTTTTTACAGCTAATAGTGTAGGCTTCTATGTGAACCTAAAAAATCACAATAAAAACTATTAACTTTTTTCAATAAATTATTTTAAAATTTCTTCAGAAAAACGCAAAATTGTTTATAAACAGTCATAAAATAAATAATTTTATACATTTCTTCGAATATCTTAGGTTCACATAGAAGAGCACCTCCTAAGCTACAAAAAAGTATTCGTTTTTATGTTTCAGATGAAAACTACGATCGCTATCGTGTTCACAAAATAGACTCTTCGAGCGAGAATTGCCACAAACAAATACGAATTGTTATTGCTTAACAGTATCAAATAAAGTGAAAGTAAATTTTTTTTTTGCAAGATTTGTGTATCTATGACCTATTTCAAAAGTAGTTGAAACATTTCATACGTAAGGCAATCTAAAACACTGTGCCGAATATCATGCAATTTTCAGCGTACTAATCCGGGTTCCCCCCTTAAATGAAATTGATTTGAATTTGAAAGCATCTATTACTCTCACATCAAAACGAGAATTTTTAGAGACTACGTGCGACTGCCTGTTCCTGCAAGGTATCGGCAGACATTTATTTATTTGTAACATATTCGTACATATTTACATAAACTTTTATTTACAACAAATGCACTCTACTTCATAAATCTCCGAAAATACATACATATATGTATATATATATTTCCATGTACACACAATTTACATACATACATACATATGTATGCTAATTGTTAAAAGACTATGCGCCAACTATTCAAGCAGTGCCAGCCCTCGTGTCACGCATTCCACTTACATAAATGTTCACTACAAGCCATACTCATACGTATGTTGATATATATTTTTTTTATACCGCATACAAATACATACATGTGTAAATACAAATTTATGTACACAACATAATGCGTTTGTCTTTTGCCGACTTCCATAGTAATTTATACGGTTGGAGCTGAGTTTATGAAAGAGCTCTTCAATGTGGGGTTATCTGTAGTTGAATCAGAACTGTCGTTTTTACGCGGGAGCTTCCTTCTAAATGGAAACGCAATCGTAGCCTCTCTAGCTTGATAATCACAGTGCTTAGAACTACGCAGAACTGGTATACGAATGTATGTACACGTATGTGTGTATGCACGTTTGGCTTATTAAATTCGCGTTTTCATTTTCATTGAAACGAACTTGACACAATCAGAGGTACTTATCACTATCAATAGCGATTGCACCATGAGTTCCGATACGAGGGTGCTTGTGAGATTTGTTTTGCTTTTTTCATTTCCAATTACAAAACATTATTAAGCACTAACATCACTCATCAGTCCATATCATCGCACTCTAAGGTAAATACTCGCACGAACATACCTTTTGAATTGAAAATTTGGCGCACACCTAAAGCAAAGGAAATTTGTCTTTTTGACAGTTATTACTTCGTTTATAATCAGTTTGGTTTGCCTGAACACCCAACGAAACAATCAATTTATTGAAGGAGACTTTTGGTAAATAGATTATCTCGCGTAGTGGCCGACCAGATCATGTAACTTAACACCGCTAGACTATTTTTTAAGGGTTTATGTGTCACCGCTTGTCTACGCAGATCCGCCTGAGACGTCTGCCGCCCTGGAAGATAGTATTCGGAGCGTTATTGCTGACATACGGAACCAATTGCTCCAAAAACTTGGCCGAAATTTGGGCCTCCCGACAGTAATTTGTATTTTACAACATCTAATGTTCTTTTGGAACCAGATTAACTTGTCTCTTGTTTTCTAGAAATTAAGAAAATTTATATTTTTTCTAAAGTTTAAAATTTGCTTTAATTGAAGCTTTTAGAGTATATATGTACACGTATATATGTTTTTCGGACGTAGGTTGTTTTTTTTCGCACGTATTGGAAATTTACATCGTTACTTTTCAAATACCTTAGATGTTTTCAGATCACACACGAATTTACGTACATATGTACCTTTGTACTTTTACACCTAACAAAATTTTTTGACGCATAGTAAATCTAATCTTATCGAAAAGGAGGTTGTTTTGTTCAATTCGCAAGTTAAGTGTAATTATTTATACTCTTTTGGAAAAAGTGAATATGAACAGCGCTGAATTAAAAGGAAATTCAAAAATAAAAAAACAAATATAAGTAAATGAAAAAGCGGTACAGTTTAACTGAACTTTAAATCACTACCAAATTAAATATGTGTCTTTAACAAATATTTGTTAGAAATATAAACCCAACATACGCAGCATCAAAGTGAATCACCGAGAAGAAATGTGACCTTCAGCGCAATCAGATAAGATAAGAAACACCCTCTTGCTATATGTCTCTGGAACATGAAATAGATATGGAGAACTAAAGAAGGAGAACTATACCGATGAGATCAACATGTGGAGTTGAGTTGCTCTGACCGTGTTCGTCTGTTGTCCCTCTGTGCGCTTCTACACCACAGAGCAGGACGAGAATAATGAACCACTTGAAGAACTTGATCTTTTCTGTAGAGAGAACATTTCTCCTTGCAATCAGAAAAGTGATTCCGTTTTGAATTTCTAAGCTGACACTATTATTGTTATTGATGATCTGGTTTCTAGGTACATGATACTAACTACGACTTCACAGTAATGAATGCCAGCTGAGTGCAAGGAATTTTGACTTGAAAGTAGGAGATATATACAATAATTACAGACACGTTCGCTTCGTTTCCTTATACATCAGGGATACAATATTGTAGAAGTTTGTATCTTTCGGTTTTGCCCTTCAGATTAGTTCGGCCGGGAAGGTTTTGTCGGCTTTGAAGATTGGTTGGTTTTGCTCAGCGTCAGTTTAGACAGCCTCATTAGTTTTGCAGGCACATCTATGTAACTGAGACAGCTGCATTTCCTTTTCTAATCGAAGGCGGTTTTTAAAGATGAGGTGTGTGCCAATCCTTTTCCAAAAATCACAACTCAAAATCACCAAAAGCGGACGTTTGCAATGTTTTAATTCGCATATTTCATATATAAGTGAATTTAAATAACTAAATTTATATTAATAACTTGTAGTTTTAAAAACTTGTAGCTTAAAAATATCTAGGACGCTATTGTTCTTCATCTGGTTGCTCTATTACTTTGCGTCACACTTTGTTTTTCGTATTACGAATCATAAAATCAGAAGCGACCCAACACACAGTACATAATATGTACGTGTATGCCTATATCTAGTTATGTATGTATGTGAAAACTGGTCTGTAGAACTGTGTATGTCATACCTTACTTCATCGAAAGTAAAGGATAATTATCTATTCTCAATTCTTAAGGCGGTAAATCGTAAGAGAGAAGCAGTGGCATTGCGTTTCATCTGAGCTCACATTTGTACAAAATTATATTGCTATGGAGTAATTGTTACGATCTCACGGATTAAAGTACATACCGAAATATACTGAAATTTTTTTGTTCATGGCTTACTTTCTTTTCCTTATTTATGTCCAAAGGATTATGAATTGAATAGTTTATATTGAATAAAAGTCCATTCATTACTCTTAAAGGTATGTAGGTAATGTCAGGATTAGTTTTTGTCTAACGCTTTTCAATAGCGGCCTTTGTCTGAGGATGAATGACTTTCTAAATTTAACGACACCAATTTAGGTATACATAAGAATATTCGTACATATGGAACCACATATTGAACCTGTTTCCATCGCTAGCGTTAATTATTTTGCGAATACTTGCGTTCTTATTCCTTATATAAGATCTACCCGAAATTATGCCCGTTTTTGGAATAAAACAAAATACTTGAATACTTCCACACCAATCCGAACTTTCTAATATGGTCAGAAATGATTTGTTAAGCTGAATTAAGGTTTTCTGCGATCTCCGATATTAACAGAAAAAGATCTTGCTCCAACATTGCCTCAGAACGAGGCTTATTAGAAAGGTTTCGACCTTTTAAAACCTGTTTAAAATTTTTCGTACCATCTTCTGCATGTTATGTCAGAAACTGTACCTTCCCCAAACACTTTCAATAAATTTCTACAACCTTCTGTAGCATTCTTTCCTTGTGGAAATTCGTCGCCATGAGTATACAATCCTTTCACACTTGTGAATCAACTCTATTGTAATTTGTTCTCTACGTCAGTATGTATACATTAAGCGATAAAAAATATAGGACCGAACATGCAATAAATAAACATGTGCTTAGGTGGCGAAATTGATGTCATAGATTCGGACAGAACTTTCCGGTAGTCCTAATAATTGGCGCTTTATAACCGCTGAAGTGATTTTCGGCATGAAGATAATAAGAGAAGACATTTCATTCCATACATATGTAATAGAAGTCTAGTAAAGCAAGCGGGTGTAGAACTACGCAACATTATAACAGACGAAACCTTTAGAGATCTTTTTTATAAATTCAACACTTTTTCATTTTATAAAATTCAATTTCTTTTTATTTTCAGTGGGATTTCCGATTTTATTCCTTTATTTATGGGGCAAGTCTTATCATCGCGGATTCTTTTGTGATGATGAGTCTCTCAAACATCCTTTCAAAGATTCAACAGTTCCAAATTGGATGTTATATGTTATAGGACTAGTTATACCCATAGGTGTGGTAAGTTTACAATAGAAAAAATAAGAAATAATTTGACTTTAACTTCATAAGCAATCTAGCTGACGGGATTATAAAAAAATATATTAAATTATTAAGTAAATAAACAAATATTAGAATGTAAATAATCACCAATCACGCTGCATAATTGTATTTATTAATAAAATTAACATTTTCTTTAAATAAAGAAGACACTCTTGGCTAGTAGTCTTTTGAAAGTGTAGGTTATTGGTTTCGGTTCAAAATATGGGCTTATAATTTTTCTTAATTTTAAATTTTCTTAAACTATTTTCTCTTTTTTAAGTAATATAAGTAAGTAATTTATTTTCTTATTCTTTTGGTTGTTTCCCAACTTATTTCTTAATTTAAAATAGCAAATAGTAAATTATTGCCCTTACTTTTATAACACTCTGTATAGAACGAATTACTTGCCAGATTAAAAAAGTGGTTCTACCATACCGTAGTTCTATGGACTTTTGGCTAGAATTTCTGCTCTGACGTTTTCATAAAACAAATTCACATGAATATGTAAATAACTTATGAGTAAAATTTTCAGAAACCGGACTATGAATTTGCATGCTGGAAGGAAAACTAAAACTAAGTAGGGGAAAATATTTGAGGTATTGGTATAAAGTCACATGATAAATATATTTGATAAAAGTCAATTGGTTGACCTGCAATATGCAATTAGATAAAGTGCAACGTTTTATAAAACTTTTTTCTCAGAAAATATTCTATGAAAAATTTTAAAATGAAACCATATCTATAACTTTCAATCCGTTTGTTTTCATTGCGCTAACTCATTTTGTTCCACAAGCGAAATTTAAAAATTTTTTTTAAGTAAGAATAAACTGTTTCTGTTTTCATAATGTATAACTTTTTACAACTCATGTTTTCAGGTTTTTCTCATTACCAATACAAACAGGCACTGAAAAATTAATAAGTTTAGTTTTTATTTTCCTCCCAGTATGAAAATTCATTGCGCCGTTTCAGAAATTTCTTCTCATATATACAATGTGAAACGTTGTTGTAAGAGTCAATAATGAGTTGGAACGGAGAACTGAAGAATTTAAGACACTGATTTTCAAATAAAAGCCGTTTTTGTGTCTCAACACCGGGAACCAATTGGTGTTGTTGGAAACATATTGTAAATATATATGTATGTGTATTTTTTACGATCAAATAAAATACTGTCGCGATGCATTCAGAATAGTCAATTAAAGTTTTCCCAATTACATATTCTGTCAAAGTGGGGAGTGACATTATGCACACATTTTGGAGCGATCAAAGCAAGTGCTTTTGGTTTTAATTCGCTCTCAACAGCAGTTGACCCATTTTTCTAAATGTTAGCAGCTGTCGAATTGTTACAACATAAAATAACATCTCGGAAAGTGGGCGTTCTAATGTTACATATATGTAAATATGTATATGCATACTTATATATAATAATTTCACAAACCAAATGTGCTATAAATGTCAAATTAAAATATTTTAACGAATTAGAACTCCATAAACACACATCTACATATCGATAAACTGCAAAAATCGTTTACATACATATAGACAGTGAGTGTTTACTATTATAAAGAAACTTCTCGATAAATTAAAGTACATACAATACATATGTACAAATCTTAGATCGGATGAGTCTTTGCAATATATAAAGGGACCCCTGCTTGGCACTAACATGCTATGTGGAAAGGTTACCAGATGGCCCCGTCGAGATTTGTATACAGCTTAGAGTGTGAGCTGTGATTGCAGTTTTAGTGAGTCACTTGAATCTTTTTTACATGAAATAATGAAACAAGTCCATAGATATTTAATATGAATGATTGGAAATTCGACACTCAAATAAACTTTTACGATTTGCAATACTGAGAATAACCGTAATCTTACTTAAGTACAAATAAGATAGATTGTTATTATTGTATATTAATCAAAACATCTTTATAATCTATACATTTTTCAACTCAGTATTTTATTACTAATTTTTGTTAAAAATATTATATATTTGTGTATGTCTTGTATAGGGCATAGGTCGAAGTGAATTTAATTTAATTGTGTTTTTCCAATTTTTTATTTTGATTTTATTGAGTTTATTATATTCAAATATATTTGAACATCTGAATGTATTAGGCGTTTTGCGTTAGATTCCTTAGAAAGAGTTTTGTTCGGCTTAAAACGATTCATTCATGATCGGCCAGTTGACAATTCTGACCTTTTACTATTACTAATGCATCTATGTATTTTGGAACTATATAAGTATATAATATTTTTAACATATTCACTCGTATGTGTATGTATATCGTTTTGCATTAAAAACCGAAAATGCATTAATCAAGGCAATTTTAAAATTATTTTCAGATCACCACGAGTGAAATAGTGAGAGCGGAGCATAGTAAACACTCAACAGAAGATGTCATTTCAACTCGCCGGTATGTCTTCATGGATTACGAAATACCCGTTTGGATGGTGGAAAGCTACAAAAGTATCGGTGCCTTTGGATTTGGAGCGGCAGTTTGCCAATTAATCACAGATATTGCTAAATATTCAATAGGGCGTTTGAGGCCGCATTTTTTCGCTGTAAGTTATAGAACAACAAAATACTTATTTGTACGTGCAATCTCTAACGATTCTGCGGAAAACAAGAATGTTTAGCACCACGTTAGGGGTAATTAATGCGCTGAATCACTCAAGATATTTATCAGCCACAGATCGTGGAAAATATGCAAACCCAGTGAGAAACCCTTACTTGAGAATTCGATTAGAATAACCAAGATGTAATCCGGTTATATTTGCGCAATTTCTAACTGAAAAAATAGGTAATTTATGACTTCATGGTTAACAGAAAATAAATAGTCTTTGCGTTGACACTGTCACGCCATGGTATTTTAGGCATAATCATAAAATAATAAAAAAAAAAATTAATTCATTTGTTATGCGACCGTGAAGGGACGTTCAATTCTTTTGCCATAATTTCTAAATAGGGAGATGAAAGTTACAATACGAGTATGTATATGATGATATCTCAAAAAGCAATTAATTTGTAACACATGTGGCGTTGCAACATTGTCAGAATGTTGTAATTATATGGCGAATTATATTTTATTACCACGAAAGAGGGCCAGCTATAAGTATACATATATGTTTATACATACATATGTTTGTATGAATATACATATGTACATGTATGCTTTGTAACCGCTGAAGCGATTTTAGGCCGAGCTCCTTCTCCAATTTGAGGTATTCATGTACATGTTTATGATGCTGAAACAAAAAGCTTTGGTTTTTTTGAGGATTTAGAAATAAGAGTTACTTGATAACAGTTATTTATTGCTCACAAAATAATAATTACGCGAAGAGTCTTACTTTTTCCTTAAGCAATAAGAGTACAAAGTAAGCTTTTTGTTTAGCCTCGACAAATAATACTCTCTTACAAAGTAAGAATTAAATTGTGAGTAAAATTATTGTGCTCTTAGTTAAGTTATAAGATGAATGGATCTTTGGATACCACAATGTCTTTTCAACTTTGTCAACTTTGTCTCACATATTAGACTGTCGAGCAAAATGCGGTTATTGATTAGGAATCCATCCATTGTGTTATATTTAGTGAGCGATAAGTTAAAATCATCTTATAAATATTAACTAAGAGCACACAAATTTTACTCACCATTGAAATCTTATGCTGCAACTGCCCATCTTGCATACCGCACAGCCATAACACCCGACTGGACGCTGCTAACAGCGACGAAATGTTGCCAGCTGCCTGCCTTTGTGATTGCATACCTTGAAATAAATTTATAATTTTCGTCAACGAATTTCATAATTCATGTGTTCGAATATAAACGCCAATCAAATATACATGATCTATGTGGTAATAAATAATTAATTACGAATTTAGTTTTATTTTCTTTTGAAAAACCTACGCATTTTCTTGGTTTATTTAATATTAGTTTAAAAAAAAAAATACTGGCAACCTTGTATAGCAACGTGAAATTAACCGATCCGGTTTTACGGAAAAAATCAAATCACCGCTGGTTTCTGCGGCACAACCGTCAGTAGTGGCGTGGGCAAGCGGTGACGTAAGATAGGTTGCTATACAAAAGCTTACTTTGAACTCTCATTGCTTACAGGCCTATTCTCACTGTTACCGGTAAAGCAAATTTTGTTACTTTTTTTAACACCCGAAATTGAGTTTGGTAATCTAGCGTACAGGCACTGCTTTTTTCGGCCATTTGCAAGTTGGTAAAGAATATTCACATCGTAATGGCAGACGGAGCGCGCCTTTTTGTACTTTTTTCCTTCATCTTCAATTTATTCCATATTTAAAATATGCCTACACCATTTGGTTTTTATTTTTTCTTAAACTAAACACACAAAATCAAACAGCAGATTGTTTGTTACCTCCTATTTCGATGGGAACAAAATTTACAGGGTGACAGTGAACTTAGAATACGAAATAGTAACTAAATTTACTGAAAGGTAAATTTTAATATTTATTGCCTCGACGGAATAGTCCTGTTAAAGAAAAAGTAAAACTTTTCGCGTAACTATTATTCTCTGAGCAATAAATAACTGTTATCAAATAACACTTATTTGTGAGCGATGAATTAAAATCAAAATTTAATGAATATTTTGTAAGGGCAAAATATAAATTGAAAAATAATTATTATACTTGACGCTTTGCCTATTTCCTTTTAATTGTTCCGGTCCCTGGTTTATACAAAACCGCCTGCAGATGGCTGATTGTTTTATATAAGGAGCTTTTATTTCACGTCAGAAATACATTCGGAGAGTTTGGCATTCCCTGTCGAGGAGCAACCGTAATTAGAAAATTTAGCTTATTTTTTTATCTAAATTAATTTTCTATAACATTTCCAATTGTTTCCACCGAATCGATTGAAATTGTTTGATTAACGGGAAATTATCGTTTCAATGCAGCCTTGATATGTACGTACATACATAAATATGCATATGCTTAGTAAATCCCTAATGCTTGAAATGTTAAAATTTGCACTTACTTTGTTTATAACTGAGTTGGATTTCATATATGTACATATACACATACATACATACAAACGAATAATATACTAATGGCAGAGTTAAGAAAAAAATCTAAAAATAAGGAATTGAGTTTTGACTTATGGACCAACCAATTAATGTTCATATATTTTTACGATAATTTACAGGTTTGATTATTTACTGAATTATAACAGTGTCTACAAATTTCTATTTCAGCTAAATATGTACACATTTGTAACATAATCTTCTTTTGGACACACAATTAAGGGTTTTTATGGTCTCATAATCTCATAAAGATATAAGTCATAAATAAAAATGTTAAGTTTTATTGTGTTAACATACAATATTTTGTTCAAGAATTTACGTGAAAAGTTTAAAATTCATATGTACATACATACAGACCATACATGCATTATCGCTCAAACAGGCGCAGTACTAGGGCGACGGTAAAATCCCGTATCTGAGGCCTTAATATCCCAGTTACGTGAAAACGAGGACCGTTTTAATGAACATTGGCTTTTGCTACCAGTCATTTTATGTTTCATTTTTCTTCATCTCTTCCTCTAAATGATCAACTTCATGAGCAAAGTAATATGTGGTATGTGCGATCCATTTCCGAGTGGCTTAATAACTTCATCAATTGAGGCTCGTTTTGCCTTCGAAAACCATATGATCACATGTAATCTGTTTATGATACTTGATAGTTTTTACTACTTAAAATTGCTGAAATTACTGAAATTTTCCCAGCACGAATTTGCAACTTTCTCTTCGAACTAAGCTTCAAAATACTGCCTCCCATTACTAATTTTACGGGTGTTTTGCCTCGCCGTACGAACAAACCAGATAGAAATCATTGAGCGTTTTTGCGCCATCTCTCGGTCGTTCTGTAAAATTTGTGTACTAAGACTATGAGTCACCCTGTGGAAATCAAACAGGCTGCTTATTATTGAATGGATCTGCTGTTATACACATATGTATTATATTTAAAAGATTCAAATTGATATACATTCATATTTATGTATATAAATATAGTTATTGCATGAAGCTATAGATGGTGTCGGCAATTTTTCGTCCTCTTGAAAGCTTTTCGCTGAGGTGAGTTGAAGAATTGCTTCCCTAGAGGTAATGTTCGATAGAAAGCTGCGACAAAAATTATTGAATCAATTGATATCCAATTCCTTTCCCGTGGAGCCCCATTAAACAAGGGCTTATAATTATGCCTGTCTTTATGTTAATGGAGAACCGGTCTAGAAGGATAAGTTGTTGTTTTTACGCTTCCAATTTAGGCCATATCTGTTGCACGTGATCTCATTTAGCCATCTTGAAACTGTTTCACTGGCAATGGCCAGTTTAATCATTTACTTTGCCGTGCATCGTGTGCACGTTTTACGGTGGGTAGAAGGATTCCTTCCCTTGCTAGCTCGTCTGCCTTGCAATTGCCTGAGATGTCTGTGCTCAGATATCACGGCCGACCAGAGTAGTATTGCATTTAATTGATTTAGATTGTTTCTACATATTATGGCCACTTTTGACTTGGTTTTATTACATTGCAGAGATCTGATGACAGCTTGACTGTCGGAGTATATCGAACCGATTGTCCTGCTGCCGTAAATTCGATCAGCCATTCGGCGGCTTTTATGATTGCAAAGTGTTCCGATCGGAAGACGCTGCAGTGGTCTGGTATAAAACTACCAGACATAACATATTCAATGAGAGCATCGGAGCTTTGAGTTGTCTGTAAAGATGGCTATAGTTCTGATCGAGGGCGTTGGAGGTATCGCACTTATTTCTGTTTGGGAATCTCGTGGAGAAAAAATTGTCGACGCACATAGTGGACGTGGTGTAGTCCAGCTCCTCCCAGTGTATCCTATACTGCAAATCTTTCAAGGTTTAGTTGCATTCAATCTGATTGCGTTGCAGCCCGTATAGATCCAGCAAGGAAGTTGAGAAGAGTTAGCAATGCTTTTGAGTAGTTTTCCAGTTACCAGGAAAGCTGCCGACCGTTTAACTCTTTATAATTTGTCGAGTGCCGGACACCGAACGGGACGGTGATATTCGGTCTCAGACCCCATCTTTCCCTATCACAGTTTTGAAGCATAATGTGCTCCACTTGAGTTTGCTATCTAAAATTATCCCGATATATTTGAATTCGGTGTTGGTGGCTTAAAAGTAAGCGGTATGTACCTCCTGGTAGGTAGAACCATTTCGGTTTTATTGTGTTCATAGCCAGCCCGCAATCCTTGCACCAGCTCCCATCTATGTGTAGAGCATCTTGGTGTTGCTTAAAGTTTGTAGGTGTAGGTGACATGCAAGATTCACAATAGTCCCTTGAAGGCACATTTTTTGAAGAGTCTCTGTCACGAATATTGGAAGAATGTTGCTGACAGACCCTCAATATCGAGGAAGATACCAAGCGTATGCTCCTTCAGGGCACGAGCATTTTCTATGCACCCGACTAAATAATGAGATCTGTATCAAGCGACTTACCCTTAGAGTACGTATGTTGTCTCCTCGAGAGGCTGTCTTGAGGCAGATTTAAGGTGTATGAGGCTACAAACAGCCTTTCAAGGACAGTCCTCTTTCTATTTTTGTACGCAGCGATGGATGGTGTTCTCATGTTGAGATGAAAATATATATATATAGATAGTCAGAGAAGAAGAGTTCATTGACTCCATACCAGTTTCCGATTTGATTAGAAAAAGAGTTTGAAGCTAATGCCTAGAACTTCCTTTCAAGTAGAGTTTACGAAAGTGGGTTTGTTCCACAGTTGCATATTGCTAGATCGTTTCTTAATGTAAATTCAAGAAGGAACTCACCTCGGCTCAAACAAACACTGGAAGTTTTTTGTGGTTCGCCTCCTTTACAACTTCTAGTAGCCGGATCTACGTACATACGTGCATATATGCAAATCTTAAAATACGCTTGTAAATGATAAAACTATATACATATGTATTCCACAGGTCTGTCAGCCAATGAAATCCGACAAGGCTATATGCGATGACCCGAGCAACGTGGGAAAGTACATTGAGGACTTCACTTGCAGAGGCCTTAACTCCACAGAGCGCATGTTAAAGGAAGTGAGCCTCTCGTTCCCTAGTGGCCATTCCAGCTTTACCTTCTACACTATGGTCTATACTGCGGTAAATGCGATATTAATAATTGAATTGTGTAATGTCAGTCATACTAAAGTTTTATTTAAAATAGATATACTTGCAATCCCGAATGAACTGGCGCGGATCAAAGTTGTTGAGGCATTTTTTGCAGTTCTTATTAATCATAATTGCATGGTATACGGCATTGAGTCGAGTCTCTGATTACAAACACCATTGGTCCGATGTGTTCGCTGGTTCGACGATAGGAGCGCTCACTGCTGTTATTGTGGTAAGTTTCCAATTATGGCACTTCTACTTGATATTAATTCCCTATAAATCGTGCACCTGATACGTTGAAAAAACTAATTTTTAAATTAGCACAATTCATGATTTTATTAGGAACAGAAAAAGTTTGCATGTTGCTTTGTTATTCGATCATTTTCCGTTGTTGTATTAATCCGTATGTTTGTATGACAATAGGCTCCTGAGCGTTTGAGACATTTTCGTATGTGTTTACACATATTTATGTATATATACATATTATAATAGAGCAAATTAATTCATTGATTCCGTATCTCCTTCATATTTTTAGAGTAACTTTCTGCCGAAGGATTGGTTCAATTGGAATACGGTGTGGCCCGTAAAGCATAAAAAAGAAAACTAATTTAATATACATATGTATTTAAAATATAGATATCAATATCAATCGCTTTTGAATTTTGTCCATTTTGGGAAATGACTTGTGAAAATTAAATTCGGGGTAACGAAATATTTCGAACGATGAAAATCGTAACAAATAAAACTTTGAAATGCCAATCAGTTTGTCGTCGTTTTATTTCACTACCACAAAATTTGTTTAATCAATGAAACTGAGTTTCGAATTTGGTGGCCGCAATAGTCCCGTTTGCGGATAAGGTAGCCGAGTCGCTAGCACTGCGGACTGCCATTCGGTACGACCGGGTTCAAATCCTGGTGCGACCAACATCCAAAAGTTATAGAAAACTAATTTAAATAACAAAATAAGTTAAATTTTCAACCCCTCCGAGTGTATTTCGAAGGCGGCTTGGTCGAAAATCGCTTCAGCGGTTACAAAGTGCCAATTGCATATATAATAATCGCATTGACATTCGGATGGCCAGAGTTCGATTCCTGGTCCGACCATCATCCAAATATTATAGAAAATACATTTTTCTACCTGCGGTCGCCTCTTGGCAGGGAATGTCAAGCCCTCGGAGCGTAAATCTAACATGAAATAAAATCCGTCCATCCCTCCATTTGTTGGAAAAAACATTAAGACGCACACCCCAAGTTGGAGAAGAAGTTCGGCCGAACTTCAGCGGTTACAAAGCGTCGATTATATATATATCGGATTTCCCTATGCAATTTTTGAATATCCCAATTTTTTTTTTTTGCTTGTGGAAAACCATTAAAGGAGAAGGTTAATTAACAAACCCAATTTCGGAAAAGAAAATTTTAAATTAAAATTTGAAGGTCTATATTAGATGACAAATTTTTAGTATTAATCAAGCTAACAATAATTCAAAATAATATCGCAACAACATTATAATTAGAACTTTAGTTAATTTAGCAATTTAAGCAATGTGTAATTTTCCAAAATATCTGTATACAGCCCAAATCCTTTTTCAACATTTGTGATTTGGCGATCATCCGCTTGAGCAAAAATTATATCAAAAACTACTACTACAGTCAAATATGAAAGGAAATTAATATTTAGTTCATTTTTTTGAAGCTGAATTAGACACCGTTCAGAAAACGACTAAAATTGTTCATAAATTTTTACTCAAAGTTTATTGAAAAATATAAATATACGTATATAATAGCTTATAGTCTTTAAATAATTTTTCACTTTTATTCTCTTGATTATTAATCCATTTCTTACATTCCAAAGCAACAACAATTTGTTCTTCCATTTTGATATTATTAATTTTTTATTTTTACAAAATCCAGGAGCTATTCGGTTTTAGTAGCGTCTTAAAGGTGTTAAAAAACTATAAATAGTTTTTAATATATTTTTATTCTTAGTTTTTGTTATTTTTCATTTTATTTAATTTATTGTGTTTTTATTTTAATTTATATAAAAACAAATGTATTACATACCTTTTAATATCTAAGTACATATGCATGTATAATGTTTTGATTCGGTATATTAAAGTCATTATATTTTATTTCTTTTCTTATATTTCTAGGCAAATTTTGTTTCCGATTTATTTAAACGAAAATCACCCCAGCAGTACCTGTTGCCCCGTACTTCTCAAGACGCTCAACCCCAGACGATAGCGAGTAATGGGCATTGATTTTTAGTTCTCTATTTAACAGTATTCTGCCTCTTATCCGCCTAGCGATTTAAACATTGTCATTAAGAAAGTATCTTAACTATATGTATGTTTGTGTGTATGCATATGAAAGTGATGAAAGCGTCAATTTAATCTGCTATTTTTATGCACCTACTATTTATTGTATTTTTATCTAGTATACAATTCGAGAAAGAGAAAACAAATAATAAAGGAGATCGTGTTAGTGAAAATAAGATATATTGACGTATTAGATAAGTACAATACAATCGATTAGAGAATTGGTATAAAAACTATACTATTTTTACAAATATTATGTTTATTAAATTGATCACTTTTTTCCGAAGACTAAGCTACTGTAATAAGTGTGCATTAAAAGAATTCGACCGTGGTTATTCAATAATCACTATCATGTATTAAGAATTGAAATCTTTAATATGCACAACCAATATTAGATTTATATTTAAGAAAATCCTTTGCAGCTTTAAACAAATAGTTGTGATTCAGAATGGTTCAGTTTTTTTTTTCAAAAATTAAATAAATTAATTAGTCAATGAGCAAATAAATTATAGTATTCAAGCGATCATCCTACGAATGTATCCAAGCAAAATATATGTATACATATATGTTTGGCTATGTATGTATATATGCTGCTTTATATTGCGATCGCTACTGAAGTACAAGATAATCGTTGTAAAATATCGGTATGTAGAAATGAAAGATAGAAACAGGAATATAATAAAAATATTTTACAATATGATCCTAAGAAAATAAATAATAATATTAAGATTATCTATAAAAAGTAATCCTTTGCTTTTATTTTCGCTGCTCGGACCGAAAGTCGATGTATTGTAATACCATCCAAAATGTTTTATTTTCCTTCAAAAAGTATGATTTTTGCTTATACGAATTCTTCATCAACTAGAGATTCTTAAAAGTACTCTATAGGAGTACCCGTTGGACTTAAAATCGAATTATTAAAATATCAGCCCAATGAGTTAAACCAACCCCTCCCTTGGTTTCCTAAGCTGAATGCGACAGACAAATCTTAGTCACCCGCAAACTTAAAGTTTTCTATCAAGTTGTATGTATAATACTTAATGAATGATGAGGAAGGATATATTCAGACAATTAGGCAAGTTGATTTTATAGATATATTTTACGATTACATTGGAGCAAATTTTCCAATTTTCTGCTAGGTATTTTGGATCGCTATCGTAGCCAATTTCCACTGTTTTCTACATCCATTCGAACTTAACCACGCATGGTCGAACACCTTGTAAGAGTAATTTTTCGATGTCTGTCAACAAGTCACTTTGTTTGTTTGATGACAGGAGATATTTCGTATTGCCCTCGTTCACTACCAGACCCATACGTTTCTCTTCCTTATCCGGGGTGGAGAAAGCAAAACTCAATGCGCAGTTGTTGAGGACATAATGACGATATCATCGGCGTACGCCAGCGGATGTGCACTCTTATAGAAGATTGTACCTTCTCTCTGTTGCTCATATAATTTTCTGCAGCAATAAATTATAGACGTCACACGATAAGAAAATAATCACCCTGTCCGAGACCTCATTTGGCAATGAACGGCTCAGAGAGGTCTTTCTTTATCATGACCTAGCTTTTTTTTATAAGCTTTGCTTGAATAACAAATTAAGAGATAGCGACGTAAAGGCAGCACCTGTTCGTGCTATCGAAGCTGGTTTAAAATCGATGAAGAGGTGGTGGGGTGAATATGTGGTCAACTCTTAATTAGCTATGTCTAAAGCCAAATACATTGTTGACAGTCACCTAATACGGCCGATAGGACTTCATACGGTAATTGGCGCAGACTGTGAGATCGCTCTTTTTGTAGATTGGGCAGAGCACATTTAGGTTCCAATCGCTGGGCATGCTTTCACACGATTATATTTTGCAAGGAAGCTGATGTTCTCACCGCCATGCTTGAATAGCTCAGTCGGTAGGCAGGTGGTACAGGTGCTTTGTTGTTGTTGTTGTTGTTTGTCATAGTCAGGTAATGGGATTTCGGTTGGGATTTCGCGTTCACCATCTCCGGGTGTTCCATTTTCCCTGCCATTCAGCAGCCTGGAGAAGTGTTCCCTCCATAAATTCAATGTACTCTGGGCATCAGTAACTAGATCCCTTTTATTTCGTCCTACAAGAGTATGCTCCGGTCATGAAGTCTTCTGTAAGCCGTCGTATCTTTTCATAGATTTTTCGAGTATTACCCATGTCAAGCTTCTCAAGCTCCTCATACCAACGCATCTCGGCTTCTTTCCTTTTTTTGTCTGCACATTTAACTTGCTTCCCTCTTCAGCTTTCGGCATTTCTCCCATCCTGCACGTGTTGTGAATGATCACAAAATTGCAGATAGGCAGCTTGCTTTTTGTTCGTTTTTGCGACCTCTCCGAAGTGCAATAGGGAGCTTGAAATGCCGTCCCACAGTTCCTTTATAGCGAGTTGCTGATGAGTGCTCTCAGAGAGTAGGAGTGCAAGCCGATGGTTGCAGCTTTTGGACTTCAAACTTTCTTCGTGTTACGAGTCGATGTTGTGTCCTTAAATCCTGGTACGAGCACATCCAAAAGTTATAGAAAATTAATTTTAATAAAAAACTAAGTTAAATTTTCCAATTGCGGTCGCCCCTCTGCCGGGAATGTTAACTCCTCCGAGTGTATTTCTGACATGAAATAAAAAGGTAGTATAAACTGTAGGTCCATCCATTTGCTAGAAATACATTAAGGAGCACACCACAAATTAAAGAAGGAGATCGACAGAAAATGGCTTCAGCGGGTACAAAGCGCGTTTTGTAGCATTTGGTGCTGCTCGATCATTTTTGCTGCAATAATAGGGCAATTGTGCCGACTTATTCGGCATTATCATCCGCCAAAACTTGCGCTTCTACTTTTTCACTTTTAGGAATACCTGCGATGAATAGAATATATAAGAATGGCGAAAGAACACTACCCTGAGGAACAACTGCCGTGGTTGGATACTGCTCTGACATAAATTAATTTACTTATACCCTCTGAATTATAAAGCTTTCTCCCAGAGTCATGAAATAGTCGCTAAATTCTTTTTCTTCTCTAATCCTTTCGAAACGTGACGTACAGTAAATCGCAGCCAAAGTAAGGTCAGCTTGATAATTGGAATCACCAGACCAAGCTTCAATACTTTGCATATGAGGTGTGACTATTAGGTAATGAGACTGATTTCATAAAAACCGTATGTTTCAAATTTCTTCTACAACTCTGCCATCTCCTTCAAAGTAGTTCCATTGGGCAGCTGTTCAACGATTCCAGCGCTTCGAGTGGGATGTCCACGAGTACCCTCGTCACAGCCGCTTGGATGTCTCCGATGTCAAATCAAAATGGGTTCCTTCGATCACCGATTTTTTTCTAGGGAACAAGAAAGCCACAGGGTGACGTATCGAGCGAATTATTGCAACGGCGATCCCTTTAGAGGCCAAATACTGGGACACGCTGAGGGCGGTATGGAACGGCGGTGCTTGGCGATAATAGACTTGATTTACTTTTTGCCCCGGTGGAAGAAATTCTTTGTGCACGATTCCACGGCTATCAAAAAAGGCAATAATTATCGTTTTCTCCTTCGACTCATCTCATAGATGGATTAGCCCCACACGATATCCAAAAAACATCCCTGTGAGGTTATACTAATTATATGAGTGCTGGTGGCTTTCAAATTCTTTGGGCATGGCTCATACCAAAAATGTGTAGGCAACAACTTTAACTTGCCCATAAATTAGTCGTCTCTTTCCAGAAGTGAAGAGAGTAGAAATAAAATTTTCCAGTTTGGCAGAGGAAGAAACTAATGTAAAAACAGGGTATGTTAATGCAAATAAAATAAGCCCTCTTAAGCTAATTTATCTCAAATGTATTCCAGTTTTTTAGAAAATTCGTTATAAAAAGTACATTTCGCCTACTGCGAATCTGAACACTTGCATGGTTTGGCGAACAACTTTATCCGAGAACAAGTCGGAACTGGTTTCTGCATTTATATGGTTTCTATAAAAGTTCTTTGTACTGGCAAATTCTATAAGATCAAGTATTTTATTTGGATCAGTTCTCCAATATGTAGGCTGCCTTGGAGAAAAAATAGAAATACTGCCGACGAAAGCCCCGTGAATGAAAAATACCTCTTTTATTTTCGTTATGACAAATGATTTTAATGTCTTCTATTCATTATAACCTATTTTCTTACTTCTATTCTTGATGCATTAGTGAACAATTCACAGAATTAGAGGTTAATTAGACTGATTCATGGTGAACGCTCCGCTGTTGCTAGAAGTAGAAGTCATTTTCAAACACCTAAAAATTTTCCCGCACCCGTCCCCAACATACATATGTACATATGTAGGTAAGAACGATGACGTGACTAAGAAATTTGGGGAGTGATTACTCTACTGATATCAAGTAACAATGCTGCACCTTAAATACATTAAGGTAAAATTTCAGGTTTTATTTTTTTTCTTTCGTATACTTTTTAAAATGGCCACTCATAACCGGACACTTGTTATGGTTTAATCACACTGTGGACTATTCGACTATTCACTACTAAATATTTCTAATGGGATTCGTTCTTAATTTTTAGGAAGGCGACTGTTTTCCTGTTGGATTTTTTGAACTAATTTTGAGTAGTTGGCAACGCGAGCACTCAATAGTAAAAATAGCGAAAAGACGAGAGTACAATCTCACTTGCACCCACATGTTGATCGTAGCAGTGGAGAATAGCATAGGCAAGAGAGTGGATGATCTCACCCTTTTCAACGCTCGAACGAAGGCAATGCCATTTTTAACCATGGTTTAAACAACTCGTTCTCACTTACCTAAAAACAATGAATTTTGTTGGCCAAAACGAGAGTTGGAGCAGGTTTTCACATTGCCTTGAGCACGAAATAGATAGTTTCATTTGGGAAGTTGCCGTGTAAACGTCGCGAAGCGGGCGAATTGCAATAACGGATAAAGATAGCGAAATTTTTGTAGTGTACAGATAATTGTTGTTTTTTCTTGCAAAAAAGTTGATGAAATATTTTTAAATAGTTCATTTTCGAATTTCTTTTGTTGTAATTATGCGCAGTGACTCTGAGGGGGCATCCGGTGAACATGCGCAATTGGTGGTGAATGTGTGAAGATTCCCCCTCCCATTGACAAAACTTTATACAAAGGCAATTGTGATCATGTACTTACATATGCATAAATACATATTTACACTGTGAATGCATAAGTTTGAATAAGCGGATATGCACTTGTGCAGCAGAAAGAAGAAAAATGTAGAGAAGACTAAAAGCACAGATAGAAAATAATAAGCCGAAATGAACAGAAAACTCGAAAAGTCAGTTGAAAACGACATGCAACACAAATAACGCGAACGCCACTAATACACACACACACACACAGACTAAGCGGGAGTCCACCCCAAGTAAAAATTGTGTCAAACTTAAAAATGAGTACTTACAAAGCACATATTTCGTGACGTGAAACTGGTACAACAATTTTTGTTTGACCTGCGACTTCATCATTTACAATTGAACAAGTTAACGATGATTTAAATGAAATTTTTTATATCAAATTGCTTTTATTTTACTATTACATATTTGTGTGTGTTTTTTTTAGACATTAACTTGCATTAGTGTATAGTGGTGAACGGTCATGTGAACCACTAACATCGTGAATGCCTCAAAGTGATAATTTTTGTAAACATAATTTGGCCACTGATCATCTTCAATCTCTCCTACAGTTTCAATCATTACATATGTTGTATTTGTAGGGCAGACGAAAAAATTCCCCAACTATAATTCTTCAAATCTTACTATAAACTTGATCTTGATTGCTAGTCTGTTAGACGTCATGAGTAAACTGACGGGAAAATCTTCTGCTTGGTGTATTTTGCACTTGCTGTTTAGCCTAATAACTAGACGTATACACGTACAAGAAGATATACAATGTACATACAGTGAAACCTTCCTTATGTAAACACCTATGTCGTGCAAGATTTGTCCGCCCGGTGAGAGTGGATAGCTATTTTAAAAATAATTAAAATCTAAATATATTTAACACTCATCAATTAATCATTTAAATAAAAAATCACCGTATTATATTTATTGATCAAACAGGGCTTTTTATGTGTAACTTCAAAGGTCAATTTATAGAGATACATTGGCGGAGTAAAGTTTACATTTGACTTCTATGTGGTGGTAAAAATCAGACTCATACATAATTTAGTGAAATAAACATTTTTAAGTTAAAAAAAATTGAATTTGAAGGTGGTTACCAAGTCGCTTAATTTTCTCCATCGAATTAAGGTTTGACTGCGCCATTGTACATTTCGGGTTTTCCTTTTTGGAGTCCCGCTCATTATTTGGTAAAAAAAAAAGTAAAATTTGCAATATGTACATATGTAGTTATTACGGACATTTCAGTTACTTTTTTACTTCTGTCCACCTATACCTATAATGAATAATGCGTCCGCCCCAGAAGTGTTGCTTGGATTTGTTATGAAAAAATATTCTTTGATCATTGAGAAGAGATTCGCGTCCACTCAGGTCATTCGACCAATGTGCCTTCAAGGGAGGAGTTTGTTAGGAGAGGTTTCTCTGTACGTGTATATGTATGTATAAGAGTTTGTATATACGTTTTTGATCTCATATATATAATATACATATGTGAACAACAACTTAAAGAAGAAGAATATGAGGAGAAAAAATTTCAAACATAGAAATGTGGAAAAACAAAAAAAGGTTGATGTGTGTGATAAGCAGAAAAGAGTTGTAATTATAATTAAGGGACTTTCGACTTCGATGTGAAATTTCTCAAGACAAGCAATTGTCCCATTTACGTTTGAGTAATGACTTTCAAGAGATTTGTCACCAATAAGACTGTCACTGGCTTGATGATATATGTATATACACAGATGATGATATATGTGTGTACATATGTAAGTGTATGTGGAGAATACTAAGATACCAAGGAAATAAACAAAACCCGCGAATCATGAAAGTGCTAAAATATGTAAATGAATTGTAATTAGAGAAATCAAATCGTTAGAGTAGCAAATATATTCTTGAGTGAATATCTTACTTTCTGCAGCCAAAAAAAATAGTGTCTTAGAGTAAATCGGTAGCTTATAGAGAAAAGTTAATATTAAACATACAGAGAGGGATTGGATTGGATCCAATGGGTATTTGCTTATTCTAAATTTAAAAATAATTTGAAACTTTTCAACTGATTTTTACCACGAAAATCGTCTGAAAATCTTAGATACCTAGCAAAAGTTAGCATGTATGGGGTAATCTCAAGAACCTGATCTCTATCGAAAATCCGCAAAGGTGACAAAATTTGATGCATTTTAGATCTTCTGGGTAGATCTGAGATATTTGCCTTACGTTTTAAATGAAGACTGCATGCAGCACGAGCACTGTTCACTCTTTTCTGTCCAAGGACATCTACTAAGGTGGGAGGGAGGGTTGCAATTTTGAAACCCCATCAGTTATGTAGTTACCAGCAGACGCGGCAACTATATCAACGTTGTCGAAACAATTTTTGGGGCTATTGAAAGAGTGGTATACAAAGCCAGGTTGGCCATCTGTTGTCAGAGGTAATGTTGGCGTCCAGCTTGAAGCATACAGATTCGGCAGTTTATAGAGTCTCTAGAAAAATACTTGGTTATTTAAGATATTTAATTGCGAAAATTATGACACGAAATCATATATCTATTGAAAGTTGGCCCATCTCGAGACTTCCGTTAAATGAATCAAAATAATTATTCTTACAAACTTTTGTTCAACTAACAGAAAATGTATTGGAAAACGTCGATGAACGAACTGTCGACTTTCTTCTAGAACTCTGATCTTTTTATAGATATGTACAAGAAGGAAACCATGATCGTGGCAGTTAAATTAGTCATAGTAAAAGACCTTTTGCTTGTCTGAAAGACGATGGTAACAAAAGCCCTATTTCTGTTTCTGATTCCCTGAGAGTCAAATGCGTATTTTTCGCTCGTCTTGTCTGTAGTATCAGGGAATGTCAAATCTGCTGCACGCAGCAACAAAACCCCTGTCTTAACTATATAACGAACACTAAATAAATAATAATTATACATGTATGTACATAACATATGTACATATGTATGTATAAAACGCTTACATGTTTGTACATACGAGTGTGTACAATAAATTATAAACACAACGAGCTTTAATATGTGCTATCGTGCTTAAATACATATGCACGTATGTAAGTTGTACCCACGTTTGTGGTAATTTCTCTTGATTAGCAAAGTCATCATCATCATCTCAATGCTGACTGCTTTTAGAGACTTGATAGCACACACCGCCATCTACGTCTGTATGCATGTAGCTCATACATACACATACGTATGTATATAAAGATTCAAGTTGGTTTTTATAAAAATATATTCAAGTAGCAAAAGTGGAAAGCGTAGCATATTTGCAAATGTATATAAACATGTGAATGTGTATATATACATACGTGCATATGTATTTATGTATTTACGTATATTTTTAGATTTGCGCACGCGTAAGGCGCTCTACATGTCCGTTTACCCGCATGAGCTTGTGCAAGACGACAGAGAAAATAATAATAAATACAAATACAATATGTAAGCAAGCTTATACACGCTTATCTATGTACATACATACGAGGGAAAGATAATCACGAAAATACCAAAAATCAATATTATTTTAAAGTTGCTTCTCTTGAGCGAGTTATCAATGCCAAGCAACTGACCGTTATTTGAAGTTACATATGGTATACTATAATTCATGCATAAACATATATACATACGCGTATGTACATATGTAAGCATATTTATGTAAATACATAAAGCATAATAACAAAAATAGAGTTTGGATTATGTCGGGCATTGCTCTCGCATTTAGGGCCAAAAGGTATTCTAAAAGAGAAAAGTAGTTCAGCGTAATACACACGTACATAAACGTTGACTTCCGAACTCATTCATTAGCATTTATTGCGGCGGCCGCGGTAGCCGAGCGGTTAGCGCCGCGTACGGACATTCGGAAGGCCCGGGTTCATATCCCGGTGCCAGCAACATCCAAAAGTAAGAGAAAATTAATTTAAATCAATAATAAGTTAAATTTTCCAATTACGGCCGCCCCTCGGCAGGGAATGTCCACCCCTCCGAATGTATTTCGGACATGAAATAAAGGCGCCTCACAAAAAACCATCAGCCGTTCGGAGGCGACTTGGTATAAACTGTAGGTCCCTCCATTTGGTGGGAAAAACATCAAGACACAAAACCACAAATTGGAGAAGGAGCTCGGTCGAAAAATCGCTTCAGCGGTTACAAAGCACCAATTATATATACATATATATGTATACAGTGGCTCAATATATATATAGTGGCTCAAAAATGAGCTCGGACACCCGAGTTATACGACTTCAAACAAAAAAGATGTGTAATAAAATGCAAATCGAGGGCTTTCTGTTTAACATATATTTCTATTCTTCAAGTGTATTTTTCAAAGCAACCAAAACCACAAACTGAATTCAACTCGGTCGTACAAAAATAATATGAACATAACAACTCAACAAAACTGATGACAAAAAAGAACTCGGACATATATGTACAATACATAACATAGAATTTAAAAATATTATTTAAAGAAAAACAAAATATTCTTAATATTTGGTCGGCAAGCCTTTACTTTTTCTGATAGCATTCAGTCTTCTTGGCAAAGATTCAACTAGATTCCTGCATGTTAAAGAATTTATTTTCCCCCACTCTTCCAAAATAGCGGCTTCTAGGTCAGGTCTTTTTTCTAATAACATGCATTTTCAGTTTATTTTCCAAATGAGAGATTGAGGAGGTGTTTCAAGCACTTTAGGATAGTTTTAGATCAGCCATAGACGGACATCATGTGCTTTATGCTTGGGATCGTTGTCTTGGTAGTACTGGAAATTGTCTTTAATTCACAACTTTTTCGCACTTTGCACTAAATTATCTTTTAAAAATGGTCAGATATTGCTTGTGGTCCATATTACTATTTATGAAACACAAATTTCCAGGACATACAACCTCATACCATTACTGATCCGCCCCCGTGTTTAACAGTCGGACGTAAATTCTTTTCTTTGAACTTTTCACCTTTTCTTTTCAATAAAAAAAATACTGAAATTTTATTTTGAGCTATTACGTTTGATTATATACATATGTATTTTTAAACGAAAACAAACTAATGTTGGGTTCCCCTTTTCAAAATGCCAAGCAACTGTAATATTACCAGATGTCCGACTTCTTTTTTTGGCAAAATTTCTAGCATGCCACATGTTAATTTTTTGAAGTAAGGGTATAGGAGACCTATAAACTATTTAATTTGTTTGTTATTGGAATTTTTTAAATCCCTATTGGATACCCTATAAAAACATAAAAAACAAAAATGTTTAATATCAATTGGTTAAAAAAAATCTAGGTTGAAGTTGCATGTTAATAACAGTGGAATCTATGTCCGAGTTCTTTATTGAGCCACTGTATATATATCTAATGTATATTATGTATACACAGGAATCGGTGAACGAAAGTAAAAGATCGCAGTGAATGTTGTTACTTTTATTGTTGTTATCTGGAACTTGGATTGCCTCGGTTAATGTTTTGTGCTTATTGCACTTATTACGGTTTATTTGACACAATATTGCCTAATTAAAGTATGATAATGTGTAAGTGTCAACAACATTGATCTACGTTTATATTTATTAAAGCCACCCACAGAGCTGTCTACACAACGAAGGATTTTCACAAAAGAGGTAGGTAAGAAACTTTGGATCCATTTTTCCTTTCAATTTTCTAAAAAGTCATCTTTCAAATTAATATTTAGAAAAATGTACTAAAAAAATACAGATGAAATATTGTCGTAGCTTAGTTTCAAAAATAAATTTTCACTGTCGCTCTTCTAAATTTGGAAAACAACAAAACTCTTTTGGTTTGTTTCTGGCCAAAAGATAAAGGCTAGCGATATAGCAAGGCTTTGACCTTTCACTATACATACGGAAGAGGGGTCAGTGGGTGGTTAGATAGTTTGAGTTGATATGCACTGATACCCCAACCTTCTAAGCCCTACACCTTCTTGCCTTCCTCTGTCTCGCAATATATCAGAAAATGTGCTAGTATCTCTGGTTCCAACTGCAAATCGCCAAACTATATGAATAGTTCCATAACTTCAGTTGGCAATGGGAATATATTATCAATATAAAATGATGACTCGAGTCATGAAAGCATCAGTGGAACTTTACCTCAAATAAACGGCAAGAACGTCTTCATCTTTGGTGGCAGAAAGGCAAAAATAAAAAGACTAACTCGGTTACGGCAAAGTGTAAAATAGGATCGGAGTGTTATTTCTCACTTAACTAGGCAAATTACAATTTCAATTGGCCAGCCTTTGACATATGCAAAGTGATACCCAAGGAGACTTTATCCAAAGGTCGATATTCATCCGGATAATGAATATATTTAATGGATCATTTATCAATATATTTCCCCAATCTTCCCTCTACCCCTATAGCTTAGGCAGATGGGATTAAAGAAGTGGAGATGAAAGTTGTCTCCTAATCATATGTTGTGGCCCCCTCTAAGTGGGTTAAGCAAAAATATTGATTCCTGATAGGTATTATTAATGCTTTCATGTGTATTTCTGACATCATAAACAAGGCGTTTGATAAACAACCGAGGTCAAGTGATTATTTTTTAAGTGACTGTTTTAATATCAGGCTGGTATAAACTTTTTCTTCCGGTCTATTCTAAATACCGTTTTTTTTGGGCTGGGTTGCTGAATTTTTGGTTCAATGAAAATTAATGAAAATTAATGAAAATTGATACGATTTGGGTACGTAAAGATGTATACGCCTTGCAAGTTTATTGTGCCTGACATTATTATACTATGAAGAAGTTAACGAGATATATAATAGAAGACATTTTACGTTGACTTAAGGAAATTTTCAGGTGATTTTCGAAAGGTTCCACATAGTCATATTCTATATTGCGCTTCACATTGACAGTGGTATTTATCAATTCAATATTTTTTTAGAAAACGGGCTTGTAGGCATTCATGGTGTAGGTTCGTCCTTTCTTAAGTTCAACAAAATGCTAGTGAATGCGATGACAGCCAATAAATCCCTTGGCAATCCTTGAAATCAGCAGTCTCTCTACCGACTTCGATTCCATTTAAATAAATCACGTTAACTCCAATTTATTTAAATGGATGTATTTCATAGTTACTGTGGAGTTTATCTGAAAGTGTTGAATTGGATCGAAATGGAGTTCACTGGGTTATTTTATTGCTTCGATTTTGAAATTTGAATTGTTAGTAGTGAATGTTTTCAGTCGAACTGAACATGTAAACACACAACTCGGGTACATAATGAACAAACAAAATTAATTATATACTAGTATGTATGTATGTATTCCGGCGCAAAAAGTTACTTTTGGTTATGCATAAAAGTTTAATCGGATTTAAGACGTAACGGTCGGCATGCAAGGTTTCCGCCTTTTCATAAGATTACCGACGCCGTTTGTATGTATTTAGTGAAAGCCATTACCTTTTTCACTTTTTAAAACGTATTTCTTTATCACTGCGTTACAAATGTCATTCGCTTTGTTATTATTTTTTTATATTTAATGTTTCGTTAAAGTTACGTCAAAAATGTTTTGTATTAGGTATTAAATCGAATGTATGAGTATGAATGTCTGTACATATGTATATATATATAATATATATTTCTAACTGGCACTTTGTAACCGCTGTAGTGATTTTCGGCCGAGCTCCTCCTCCAAATCGTGGTTTTGCGTCTTGATGTTATGATTACTGTGGAGTTTATCTGAATTAATCTACAGTTTACAAAGAGTTTTTTTAAGGGTTAAAGAAAAGTTGATCAAAAAACACATAAAATTCAGAAAAATGCATGAAATCTCTATTTGAATCGATAGTACGGACCATTATTTTATGCAAATGTTGACCGGGACTGCGCCTCAAATGGTCCATCCGCTTAGTCCAATTTTGGCATACTCTTTCCAACATTTCGGTCGGTATCTCATTACATTTAACATAGCGCCACTATGTCTGGCCTAAAGGGCTAAAGGCGTAAAATCGCACTTTCACCGAACTCGTCTCTTAATAAGTCCATTGTTACGTATGCTGTGTGGCATGTGGTACGGTTTTGCTGAAACCACATGTCATGCAAGTCAAGCTCTTGCAGCTCTCACCATTCACAGTTACGTTCCGATTCGCATCATCTTTGAAGAAGTACGGTAGAATGATGCCAACAGCCCATAAACCGTACCAAACTCTGTCATTTTTTCTGGAAGCATTGGTAGCTCCCGCGAGCTTCTGGCTGATCTTCACTCCAAAATCAACAATTCTGCTTAGTTACACACCCATTAAGCCAAAAATGAGCTTAGAAGCGCGCGATGAACTTTCTTAACAGAGCCCGAATTTCCATAGTAAAAATCAATAGTTTGCAAGCGATGTTCGTTTGTAAGACGAGACGATTCATGGTTAAATTATAAACCAAACTGAAAATGTTTGACAGTGATGCCAAACACTAAACGTGCGTCAGCTGTTTTGAAATAGTGTTGGCAAAGAGATAGATAAAAAATCACTCTTTAATAAGCCGCCCCTGAACGGCTGATGGTTTTTTTATGAGGAACTTTATTTCATGTCAGAATTGTCAGGGATTGACATTCCCTGCCGAATGGCGACAGAAAATTCTACTTAATTTTTTATTTAAATTAATTTTCTATATAAATTTTTGTCGTTTTGATGTTGGTCGCACCAGGATTTGAAACCGGGCCTTCCGAATGGCAGAACGCTATGATAACCACTCAGCCACTGCGGCCGCCATGCATACATATACTTCGGCAAATGGTGCATGTGGTCCGAGTATATAAATTTTTATGTTTGCGGTGATTACAACAATTCAAAGTAATCAACTCAATGGTACATAGTAATCCAATATTCGGAATAACTGTTTGCCTTATTTCAGTCGATAGACCACAGGAAACGCACGGGCAATACAATTTCCTATTTCCCAAATTTAGAATCGAATTTAAAGGGCTAATCAATTTAGTGTCGGCGATAGAACCTCATAGGCCATATTGGGGAAGCTCATTACACTGTAATTGGCGCACACTGCGGAGTCTCCCATTTTGTGGACTCGGCGGAGCACCCTAAGATTCCAATCGTCCTGCATGCTTTTATCTAACCATATTTTGAAAAGTCATACAAGTCATACATCTTATCAGGAATAAATTAATATTTAACTTAATCTATCCGAAAAATGTAACAACCCGCTTCGTGATCTTTAATCAGCAAGCAATCTGGAAAATGGTCCAAGATTTGAGAATACCTCAATGAACTATATTAAAAACAACTCGGAAAGGAAAACTTTTTAATTATTTCTGCATATTTTCCAAAGTAATTGATATGACCACAGATTTCGAGCATGCCGAAACACACGTATGTACCTACATATATCATTTGGTAGAATGAATTTAAAAATAAGACTCGTACTAAATTTTGGACCGTCATTCTCTTTTTCGAAACAGGTTCAAAATCAGTGACACCGAAAGATGATAATTTATTTAAAAAACAAAAAAACAAATTATCTCGAGAATTTCTAAATACACAAGTCGAGTGACAAAATTCAATGTGGCACTTGTGGTTACTAAAGGTCCCTCCAAACTATATTGCAGTGTAAAAATAGTTGTACTAAATAATAACAATTTTTTATATTACAAAAAGCATTAAATTTCGCTCTCGATTTTCCTTTTGTCTCATTGAGGTGTGTCCAGTACGACTAATCGTGATTCCGGTTGATTTTAATGCAAAACGCAACATATTTGTACTGTCTTTTGAATTTTACATACATTGTTACACACATACAAACATAGATTCGCCTCGCTAACATGCAGTCATTTTATTAGTTTCCTCAAAGCGTGAATTGCTTTTGCCAAAAACCAATAACTTTCATTCGACGCTTTCATTGAGCTCTTCTTTGGCGGCAGCGGCAGATAAAGTTCGACTTTGAAACGATAATAACAAGTCCAGTTGAGACGACGCCAAACTCTAAACTTGCTACTTTTTTCACAAGCACATTCGCTGCTTTAAATGCCTGCATATGCACATACATATGTATGTATAGGCGCGCATTTAGATTTTCTATTTGGAAATTTGCATATTACTTTCCACTGATATTTGGGTTAGATGTCTTAAAAGCAAAACAGAAAGCATTCGAGTATCACATCAGCTACACACAATTTACAATCGCATTGCTCGTACATATGTATGTACGAGTGTGTATTTATGTCCTCGCACATGAAAGAGTAAACAACTTTGAAACCGAAAAGAACGTTTTGAGAGTAATTTATTTGTTTAAATTTCATAAAGAGCGCTGAGCACTCCACACGGGTTACTTCGAATTATGTAAGTACCGCGCAAATATATTGCCGAGCTCCTCTTCGAATTAGTGGAATACGTCTTGATGTTTTTCCGGCAAATGGATTGACCTACTTTTAGTTCTAAACCTTCTCCGAACGGCTTATGGCTTTTTATAAACAGCTTATGTGCGACGTTAAAAATTTACAAATTGAAGTAACTCAACTTAAGGCTACAGAAACGATTATATAACAAACAGAGTTATTGGATAAGCCGCGAGCAGCCCTTTCGCAAGATGCGGTAACCAAACCGTGGGTAGCTTTTGTCAACGGCTAAAAGAGAGGAAGCTTCTGTGGAGCTACTCCGAAATATTTCATT